TTTCATCAACTTATTTTGAGTATTTCTGTTCGTATATTCAATGGCTTGCTCCATTATCGCTACTGTTATCTGTTTGCTGCCTTTACCTTTCAACCTCATCTATCCCTAAAAATCATCTTCATCTTCATCTAGTGATTATGGTTTTACAAAAATTAGTTAGAATTGTGCTTTACCACTTTCTTTCCTTAAGCAGTCTTTGTTCTATGTAGACACCGACGGTTAGTTTCAAGAAGCCCATCGGAAGTGAGTGTATCTGGCCATAAGTTTGTGGGATGTCCAATGCCATGTGGTGTGAGATAAAAAAAGGGTACAAGGGATTCCAAAAGGAAGTCCAAAGTGCCTTATCAATGTTTACAATTTGAATGGTTGGGAAGCAGGAATTGGCGTTATGCTAAATCAACTGAGCAGTACAGTTGTTTGCAAAACCACATGATGAGGAGTTGCAGCTCGCTTGTGACGGTAAATATGGCACATGCAATTGTGACGTCGAATGTCACCGTTGAGAAGCTGGATTATTTTTTGAACAAATCAGTTAAAGGACGATCAATCTGATATAAAGACGAGAAAGTTCGGCATCCTTGTCTTGCAGAAGATATCGCGAGAGACGTACAACTACTCTTGCGCACTTCATAAGTAATTTATATGTTAGCTTGAGGATCTTTGAGTCCCTCTGTTGGTATGTAGCAGAACTCTTCTAACCTTTATGAAAATCAAAATGATGATTTAAATCTTGGCAGTGCATAGAATATTCCTCTAGTTTNATGAAAATCAAAATGATGATTTAAATCTTGGAAGTGCATAGAATATTCCTCTAGTTTTGGGCGTACATTCAAAGATCTTGTGCTGTTAGTTGGCATTTTTCTTCCAAGTGGCAATGTCAGCATGAAAATCTGATGCCAAAATAATTATCATCTAATGAGATATGCAAGTTGATTTTGAACCTTGCTACCATTACAGGGGCCACATGGGGGGTTGGGGCCACATTTTTTTTAATACAATGGGTGGGGCCCGCCGCTACAGTAAGGGGCCTGTAAGGCCCTTTGAAGAATTAAGAATAATTCGTTGATTTTTCATTATGAAGAAGTTGATATGATGCTTTCAAATTCCATTCTTCAAGGGCTGTTTAACACCCTCAGCGTTATCAATGAGTGAATCCATCAGACAAATGTACAACGTAATGCACAATTCAGAAGGGTCATGTGTACTAATTTCATAAGCCGCCAAGTTTAATAGCAAAGTTTTTTCTGAATCAGCAACGATGATTGGAGGAAGTGTAAGAGTACCAAAAATAAGGCGAGATAACTTTTTATTTCCAATATCAAATCGTCTTCTCCTTGTTCTGTTTCTGTATTATCAGAAC